TCTGTGCTATCAGGGTCACTTCCAGACTGCAGCTCCATATTTCTTCTTTTTCGGTGTTTTCATGCAAATTCTTCTGCTAGTTAGAGTTTAGTCCACTTCTGTACCCTTCCCTTCAAGGCTCAGGGGTCCAGGATTATATTCTGTATCTGTGTTAATTGGTTACGGCTCAGGGGTCCAGGATTATATTCTGTATCTGTGTTAATTGGTTACCATTTTCTTTGTTGAGGAGGGTCTGTTCAGTCTTTCTGCTTATTCCACCATCTTACTGGAACTCCTCAAGAATCTTGAAAATGTTTTGAATATGTACATTATTTTAGTAATCTAGTGCTCTCTAACAGAAATACTGCAAGTGGATGGTTTAACAAGCAAAATTGTATTTTCTTGCAGTTTAGGAATACAAGAAGTCTGAATTCAGGGTGCCAGCTGTAGAGGAAGGCTCTCTCTCTTTCTGTCGGCCCTGAGGGCAGGCCCTTGTTCCTCTGCTCCTTGGTGATCTTCATGTGGCATGGCATCTATCTTCTTCTATCTGTGCTTTTGAGCAGCTTGATTAGTCTACTTTTTCATATCCCAAGAGAGATTGATTTAAGACACAACCTACACTGATACATTAACATAACAAAGAAAACTCATTCCCAGATGGAATTATAACCACAGATATAGCAGGATTTACAACATATATTTTGGGGAGGACACAATTCAATTCATTATGTGCATTTTGCTGATGAGGGATGCATAGCTTTTATCAGCTTTGCCAAAGAGTCCATGACACTTTGAATCTAGTAGATAACCACTGGCCTAGATGGTGAGGTTCAGGCTCAGAAGTAGAGGGCTCTCTCTATCTACTGTTCAGGCCTCAGATCATGCCCACCCCACCCCCACCCCAGCCTCACCCTTCATTGTCTGATAACATGTGAGTCATATGCAATGCCTTGAACACCCATGTCCCACACCTCTGCATCTCAATTTCTCTTGCTTTTAGCTTACCCATCTTCCCCTCAGGAAAGTCTTCCCTGATCTCACTCTGATCTCACCTTTAGAAGCTTTTACTGAATTATCTTGAAATATTACAGATCTATCTCTCACTTTTCTGTAATCTCTTTCACAATAGTGGCCATTACTTATGAATTAATATGTCCATGCAGCCTAGCACAGCACCTGGGTATCATTGGTGCAAAGTACATCCTGTTGAATCGAACTGATGCAAAGTATATTAAATCCTAATCCAGGCTTCAAAGGCTTTAATTAACACTGAAAAATAAATAATAATATATGTATAATGTTTTATTTTTTCTAAGTGTGTAAGTTCATGTATTACTTATGTAATTAAAAATAACTTTATAAATTATAAAGTATAATGTATGATATTGTGCATATATGATACTCCCAAAACAATGATGGAGTCTCTGAGGGGCATAAACATTTAAGTGCTTGACTACCAGCTGGTAGTTTGAACCCACCCAGAATCACCTCAGAAAGATCACAGCCTTGAAACTCTATGGAGCAGTTCTACTCTGCACACATGGATCATCCTAAATCAGAATCGTCTCAGCAGAAACTAACAATAACAGGTGAATGATATGTTTTTCCCCCGTGACTAAAAACCCTCTGTTAGAGTGCCTGGATGGTGCAAACGGTTAAGAGCTCAGCTGCTAACCAAAAGATTAATGGTTCAAATCCACTAGAGGCACCTCAGAAGAAAGGCCTGGAAATATGCTTCCAAAAGATCATAGTCTTGAGAACCCTGTGGAGCACAGTTCAACTCTGCACTCATGGGGTCTCCATGAGCCAAAATGGAATCAAGGGCAACTGGTTTGTTGTTTTGTTTTCTGTTTTAAACCCTCTGACTGGAAAACAATCTTATGTTCTCTTTTTTCCTAATTGCATGCTATGATTTATTGGAAAGTTTGCTTATCTGGACCTTCTAAGTTATCTTTTTTGTTAAGAGCAATGTATCTGAATGCTAGGAAATAAAGACTAGTTTTAGTCTTTAACTTGGCCTTTGTGCCCACTCTTTGTTAAGCCGAGGGCCCTGTGGAGACAGCTGAGTACAACTGCCTTGGCTGTGTGCACCCTATATCAACTGACAGCCCCGACCTGGAGCCTGTTTTGCAACATGCTGTTCAGCACTTTAACAACAACACTGAGCACTCCTACCTCTTTGCTCTTCACAAAGTAAAGAGTGCCCTAAGACAGGTTTGTTCCTTAATCGTACATTCATACAGTATTGTAAAATTTGTTAGAGCTTTATGTTTAGGGCCTCATTAACTAAAATAAACTGATTGCTGAAGGAAAATGTATTATTACACTACTGCTGGTGAGGAGTTCTTCTGTTTTATGTTATTGTTTTTTAATATGACCAAACAAAGGACTTTCTATTTAGTAAAATTGATTAGGATACTGAAATATGAAAATGAGAAAACCACTTGCTTTAAGATTTTTTTCTGAATAAATTGGTAGTAAGCATGGCATTTTTTGTGGAGAAAATGAAATGGGAAAGTCATTCTGGCCTTAAGATTTTAGGAGAACTCCATCATCTCCTAAGGAACTCTGGTGGTCCAGTGCCTAAGGCATTTGACTGCTAAGCAGAAGGCTTGCAGTTCAAACCTACCAACCACTCCTTAGAAGAAAGATGGGGCAATCTATTTCTATGAAGATTTACCACCTCAGAAACACAATGGGGGTCTCTATGAGCTAGAATCGACTCGATGGCAGTGGGTTTGATTTTGGTTTTGGTATCATCACCTAGCTATCATGAGTTAAACACAGCTCCAAAATGTTAAATTGTATCTAAAAAACTTGGCAGGGCTTTCTGGGCTCCCTCTAATTTGTAGTTTCAATATCCTCAAACCACCACTAATCTGTCAGTTTGTTTTACTGTGGTGACTTGCATGTTGTGATTCTGGAAGGTATGCCATTGGTTTTTCAAATACCAGCAGGGTAACTGGTAAGGAGGGCAGGGAGGTCACAGGGAACAGAGGGGAGGAGAGTGGGCTAGGGTTGGGATGGTAATCAAGGCATGAAACCAAATGTACACGAACTGTTGGATACAAAACAAATTCTGCTCTGTAAATTTGCACCCAACGCACAATTTAAAAAAAAAAAAAAGAAAGAAAAAAGAAGAAGATGGAAGGAATATACAGTCATTGTACCAAAAATAAATGGTCAACCTGCAACATTTCAGGATGTAGTATATGATTGAGAACTGATGGTATTGAAGGAAGAAGTCCAAGCTGCACTAAAGACATTAGCAAAAAGCAAGGCTCCATGAATTAACAGAATACCAATTGAAATGTTTCAACAAACTGATGCCACACTGGAAGCACTCACTTATCTATAGCAAAAAATTTGGAAGGTAGCTACCTGGCCAATTGACTGGAAGTGATCCATGTTTGTGCCCATCCCAAAGAAAGGTGATTCAACAGAGTACAGAATTTATAAAACATTATCACTAAGGCACTTGACTGCTAACCAGAAGGCTGGCGGTTCAAACCCACCAGCCACTCCTCGGAAGGAAAATGGAGCAATCTACTTCCGTAGTGATACTGCTTCGGAAACCCAAGGAGGGGTTGCTATGAGTCGGGTCCGACTCGACGGCACATAACAACAACAACAACAACATCACTAATATCACACAAAAGTAAAATTTTGCTGAAAATAATTCAACAAAAACAGTACACAGTGAACTGCCAAAAATTCAAGCTGGATTCAGAAGAGGGCTTGGAATGAAGGATATCATTGTTGATATCAGGTGGCTCTTGACTGAAAGCAGAGAATACTGGGAAGATATTTACCTGTGTTTTATTGACTATGCAAAGGCATATGATTGTATGGATCATAAAAAATTGTGGGTAATATTACAAAGAATGTGAATGTGAATTCCAGAACACTAAATTGTGCTCATGAGGAACCTGTACATAGACCGAGAGGCAGTTGTTTGAACAGAACAAGGGAATACTGCATGGTTTAAAATCAGGAAAGGTGTGCATTGGGGTCGCATCTTTTCACCATAGAAAGGATCTCTGGTGGCACAGTGCCTAAGGCATTTGACTGCTAACCAGAAGGTTGGAGGTTCAAACCCACCAAACACTCTGTGAAAGGAAGATTGGGCAATCTACTTCCGTAAAGATTTACCACCTCTGAAACCCAGTGGGGGTCACCATGGGTTGGAATTGACTCTATGGTAGTGGGTTTGGTTTGGTTTGGTTTATTCAATCCGTATGCTGAGCAAATAATCTGAATAGTGGACTATATGGAGAAGCATACGGCATCAGGAATGGAGAAAGACTCATTAAGAACCTGTGATATACAGATGACACAACCTTAATTGCTGAAAAGTGAAGGTGACTCAAAGCACTGATGAAAATCAAAGACTACAGCCTTCATTATGGTTACACCTCAACATAAAGAAAACAAAAATCCTCACAACTAAGCCAATAAGCAGCATCATGATAAACAGAGAAGAGATTGAAGTTGTTAAAGATTTCGTTTTATTTGGTGTCTGAGTTATCTAGTGTTGCTGTAACGGACATAGCACAAGTAGATAGTTTTAACAAATTTACTCTCTCACAATTTAGGAGGCTAGAAGTCTGAACTCAAGGTGCTAGATATAGGTGAAGGCTTTCTCTCTCAGTCAGCTCTGGGGGGAAGGTCTTTGTCTCCTTTTACCATGTATGGGCCTAGTGTTCCTTAGAGATCTCCATATGTCTTGGTATCAGTTTTCTGCTGGGTCTAGGAGGTTCTCAGAGCAGGGTCCCTGGGCCAAAGTATGTGCTTCACTCCTGGCTCTTCTTTCTTGGTGGTACTAAAGTCCCTCTTTTCTCTGCTCACTTATTTAATCTCTTTTATATCTCAAAAGAGATTGACTCAAGCTACAACCTAATCCTATAAATTGTATCATGCCTCTTTAAAATCATACAGGCTATTATTTACAACACATAGAATAATTATATCAGATTACAAAATGGGGTATAATTACATAATATTGAGAATCATAGCCTAGTCAAGTTGACCCATATTTTTGGAGGACACCATTTAATCCATAACATTCTAACATTTGTTCCCCCAAAATTCATGTCCTTGCCACATGTAAAACAAAGCACCCATCATATCATCTCAAAAGTCTTAAATTAATTCCAAATCCAAATTCCATCCTGGGGCAGAATTCTTCTTCATCTGTGAACCTGTGAAATCTGAAATACAAGTTATCTGTTTCCAAAGTACATGGTGGAACAGGCACAGGTAGACATTTACAGTGCAAACAGGAGGAATAACTGACACCAAGCACATCCAAAACACTTTCTGTGAGACCATCTAGGCAAAGGTACTGCTTTCCAGATTTGAGGTATCAGCCACACTCTGGATTCTGGGTGGAAACTCTGTGGCCCTGGGCTTCAGCTTCCCCTGCCAATCCCACTGGAATGGCTACTCTCTGCCCTTGGCTTTGGGTGGCTCCATTCCCTAGTCTAACTGGGCGGTGACTCACCACCTTAGCCCTGGCAGGCCTCGTACTGTCCCTTGGGTATGACAGCCCCACCCCCTCAGCTTTGGGTAGCAGATCTGGCCCATACCCCTGGCACTCAGGAAGAGCAGCCCCATACTCTGAAACTGAATGGCCAGATTTCATCTCACATACTTTAGTCATGTCATCAGAAGGGACCAGTCCCTGGAGGAGGATATCATGCTTAGTAAAATAGAGGGTCAGTGAAAAAGGGAAAGGCCTTCATTGCAATGGTTTGTCACAGACAGTGCAACGAAGGGCTCAAGCATAGCTAGAATTGTGAAGATGGCACAGAACTAGACAGTGTTTGTTCTGTTGTACATAGGGTTACTATGTGTCAGAGCTGACTTGATAGCACCTAACAAGAACAACAATATCAGCACACCATGACAATATCAATAGACAAAACTGTAAATGCCTGTAAATCTGGTCTTTTCAATTGGCTTAATTCACCAAATCTTCACTTACAGTTGACTGGGTTCCTTATATTTCAGCCTCTAATTTTGAATGATTCACTTAGGTAGTAATATTCCCTGCATTTAATAGACCTTCCAATTTGCTTTCATTTCAGTAGAATGCTCTACTCAATTATAATTGTCTGTATATTACTATCAAGGTGGTCGTAGACTGGTATCAAGCAGATGAAATCTCACTCCCTGCATCGGAAATCCAACGACTCAGCAGTAAAAGCCACTCCAACTCCAAAATTTTCTTAATCCATCCAGAAGGACAATATTAATATTTCATAAAACTCAATAGAACATATTCTCTCCACAGCCTGGCCAAGGAAAAATTGTTAGGTCTCAAGAAAGTACAATAACTCCATCTATGTATTTCTTTTCATTTTCAGGTATGTAGGGAGGTGTGTGTTGAGAGCCGTGAGAGTCTCAAAGTGCTCAATACGTATTCAGTAATGACTTTTGCCTAGAAATAATAGTAATAATAGTTCATATTTATCGAGCAGTTATTACACGCCAGGCAGAGTTCTAAGCACCTCAAAACATGGCTATTTATATCTCATTGTAAATAATGTTTAAACTGCCTTTTAAATACTCAATCCAAAAATTGTTTCAGGTGGTGGCTGGATGGAACTTTGAAATTTCCTACTCAATTGTGCAAACTAATTGTTCCAAGGAGAATTTTCTATTCTTAACTCCTGACTGCAAGTCCCTTTTGAATGGAGTAAGTATGCAAACATCAAATTATAAAATTCATAGCATTTTGCTTACAGGATTTTCAGTCCTGGGAACTATCAAGCTGTGTGAGAAGACTCTGTGTCTAAAATTTTAGATGACATTCAGCAATTCATGTTCACCTTCTCTTTGTTGTTGTTGTTGTTATTTGCCGTCGAGTCGGCCCTGACTCATAGCGACACTTCCTTGGGTTTTCGAGGCAGTATCATTACGGAAGTAGGATTGCCCAACCTTCCTTCCGAGGAGTGGCTGGTGGGTAGTCAAGTGCCTTAGGCACTATGCTACCAGAGCGCTCCTCACCTTCTCTTGGAAGCCCTAAAGTTCAAGTTGTTCTTCAAGCTGTCTTATCTGCCTGCAAAAGATCAAAACGTCTTACAATAATAAGAGTTCACAGAGTAAACCTGGGAATAGGAGTGCCCTGGGTGGTGAAACCAGTTAACATGCTCACCTGCTGACTGAAATATTGGAGGTTTGAGTACACTCATAGATGCCTTGAAAAAGAGCCTAGCCATCTACTTCTGAAAAATCAACCATTGAAAATCCTATGGAGCACAGTTCTACTCTAAACACATGGAGTCATCATGAGTCTGAATAGATTGTACAAGAACAGGTTGATTGGTAGGACTAGCCTGAGAGAAAATGATGAAATAGTCAAGTTTATCTTTGTTATATCTTCATACTTTCCTTTGCCCCTCTTCCCCATGTGCTAAATGTCCTTACAGTGTTCTGTGACTCTAAACCCATTACCACTGAATCAATTCTGACTCATAGTGACCCTTTAGGACAGAATTGAAGTGCCCCATAGGGTTTCCTAGGCTGTAATCTTTACAGAAGCAGACTGCCTCATCTTTCTGCTGTGGAGCAGCTGGTGATTTTGAACCACTGACTTTTTAGTTAGCACTCAACCATTTTGCCACCAGGGCTCCTTTTTTTCTTAGCTCTACTCAGAACAATTGTTCACTTCAAACTTTTCTCTGCTTACTTTCTCACTTTAACCTCCCCAGTTATTTAATTTTATTTTTTCAAATAAATACATCCTGAGCCTCTATCCTTTATTGACCCCTGGTAGGATTATGGATAGGATTATGGGATTAGGAAGGTTGGGCAATCCTACTTCCATAGTGATACTGCCTCGGAAACCCAAGGAGGGGTCGCTATGAGTCGGGGATGACTGGACAGCACTTAACAACAACAGGATTATGGCATGTTATCTGAACCAAATTTATGCTAAAATGCCATATCCCAATAGTATGTTGTTGTTTGGAGTTGGCCCCATAGCGACCCCTCCTTGGGTTTCCGAGGCAGATATCACTAAAGTAGGATTGCCCAACCTTCCTTCCGAGGAGCTGCTGGTGGGTTTGAACCGCCAGCCTTCTGGTTAGCAGTCAAGTGCCTTAGGCACTATGCCACCAGAGCTTCTTAAAAATAATAGGAAAGGAAAAAGTGGTAGGAATTAGAGCAAATTGTTAGCAATTAGAGCTGGAGTCCCTGGGTGGTGGAAATGATTAATATGCTCAGCTGCTAACTGAAAGACAGGCAGTTTGAGTCCTTATCTCAAAAATGATCATTTGGATTTATTTAGTAATGCGTAGCATAGTGGCTAAGCAACTTGCCTGCTAAGCAGACTGCTGGTGGTTCAAACCCACCAGCCACTCCTCGGAAGGAAGGTTGGGCAATCCTACTTCCGTAGTGATACTGCCTCGGAAACCCAAGGAGGGGTCACTATGAGTCGGGTTTGACTCAATGACACATAACAACAACAATGCTTTCTGTTTACTACTCTTCAGTTTTGCTTTTATCTTTATTGTTTACTCTGTCTTGATTTCCCTCAGGTTGTGTATTATTCTGTTTGTTTGTTTGTTTGTTTGTTTTCCCCTATCTTATTGAGATAAGCACCTAAGTTTTGTTTTCCTGTCTTGTCTTGGCTCTCTTTTTAAAATACAGAAGCATGTAACACTGTGAATGAACACTGAATGCTGTTCTGGCAATGTTTTGTGAAATTCTTATTTTTGTTGTTTTTATTTTTCATTTTTTCCTTTACCCAAGGAAGACCCCAACTAATTAGGGGCGTGTGTTTATATTTCCAAGGAGCTCTGTTGGTATAGTGGCTAATGGGTTTGGCTGCTGTGCAAAAGGTTGGTGGTTTGAACCCACCAACCGCTCCATGGAAGAAAGATGAGGCAGTGTGCTTCCATAAAGAATTATAGTCTTGGAAACCTAATAGGGGGCACTATGAGTCAGAATCAACTCAGTGCCAGTGAGTTTGGTTTGGTTTATAGTTCCAAGGAGCTCTGGTGGCACAATGGTTAAGCACTTGGCTGCTAACTGAAAGGTCAGCAGTTCAAATCCACCAGATACTCTGTGGTAAAAAGATGCAGCAGTCTGCTTCCATAAAGATTCCAGCTTTGAAAACCTTATGGGGTAGTTATACTCTGTCTTGTAGGGTCTCTATGACTCAGAATCCTCTTGACAGCAATGGGTTTGGTGCAATTTTAAAAACTATTTAAATAAATCTTCTTTAATATATTATTAAAGTATCCTCTGACCTTATTTATTTTTTATCCATTTGACCTGTTTTAGATTTGTAATTATTTATACAGTTTTTGCATCATGATTATTTCTACTCACTTCTAGTCATATATCTAATATTTATATATTTTGATTCAATGCCTTTTAGACTGTATCTTTTTTTAAAAAAAGTTATATATTTTTTACCACTTTTTTTTTTCTTTACCTTGAATTTTATTTTACTTATAACATTCTGGTTTAGTTTTTTGGTTCATATTGACTTGGTAGAGCTTTGCTTATCATTTATTTTTAAGCTTTCTTTATATTTTTGTTACAATATATGTTTCCTGATGCTGTAATAAATTCATTTTGGTTTTAATTTAATTCTGGAAATCTTTGCCTTTTTATAAGGCAATTTCACCCATTTACTTCTGTAGTAATTATTTCTGTTCTAAGTATTCTTAGAATTCTAAGTATTTCATGCTTTCTGGGTCATAGTGTTTCTCTTCTTGTTACTGATGTTACTACCTAATTGTTTTCTTATTCTTTCTACTACAGTTAGACTATGTTTTGTTTCTTTCTTTTTTTTTTTTTCCTATGCAGTATTTGGAAGGTAGATATTTTTAATTTTACTAGTTGTTTATTTTAAAACTTTTTAAAAACATTTAAAAATTATACACTTATATACTTTTCAAAAACTAGGATACTGGTGAATGTAGAGATTTTGCATACATGGATCCTCAGCTAAGAATTGCTTCCTTCACTCAGAACTGTGACCTTTATCCAGGTATGGCATAATGTATGCTGGTGCTTCAATAGTGAACTGTTGCTCCCAGACAACTGGCTAGGTCTTTTCATATGAATTACATTTTGCCTCCTATGGCATACCACAAAATCTGTGTAACCTACAAACCTTACAGAAAACATGTCCACCAAAACTACTCTGTAAGTGACCGTAAGGGAATATTGTGACAAAAGGGAAAATGTATTTCCTCAGGGCAAAATTATCCTTTAAGTTATCCTTTCAGTGAAACATTGCTTTTTACACAATTTTCAGCAGAAAATCAGAAGTATAGCATGATTGAGTCACTAACATTTTCAGTTGAATACTCCCTAAACACATTGAGCTCTGAGGAGAGGAGGCCAGTGGAAGCAGGAAGGTGAAGGTCAGACAGACAACTTTCTCCCACTCATCACTGGTCCTAGGGTTGCCACTTTACCCTCTAAAAACATGGAAGCTGTGGCATAAACAGAAGAGGTGCTAGACTAGGTTGCTCTTTCAGTGCACATACTGACTTAAAATCTGATTCTTTTAGCGGAGGAATTTGTACCTCCACCTATCAGGATTTGCCCTGGCTGCCCTAAGGAGATAGCCATCGACAGCCCGGAGCTGGAGGAGGTTTTAAATCATTCTATCGCAAAGCTTAATGCAGAGAACAACGGAACTTTCTATTTCAAGATTGACAGCGTGAAAAACGCAACAGTACAGGTCAGTAAATTATACTATAAAATAGTGATACTATAGTCTATGAGCAATTGCTGACGAATTTTGTGACTGATCTTGGCTCCGGCTTGGAACACAGCAAGCCTGGTGAATGGGCTTTGTTGTTGTTACATGCAATGGAGTGGGACCGGATTCATAGGGTTTCCGAGGCAGTATCACTACGGAAATAGAATGCCCAACCTTCCTTCCAAGGAGTGGCTGGTGGATTTGAACCGCCAGCCTTCTGGTTAGCAGTCAAATGGCTTAGGCACTACGCTACCAGAGATTTAGTAGATTGGAATTCCAAGTCCCAAATTCACTGCCTGCTTGTTAAGTGAAGTTAGATAAGTCACTTAAAACACTCTCTCAATTTTCTAAATACAGATCAAAAAAGACAATATGTGTAAAATCACTTTTCAAAAACTTTATATACTGCTATTGTTAGGTGCTGCAGAGTTAGTTCTGACTTGTAACAACTAATGTACAACAGAACAAAACACTGCCCAGTCCTGTGCCATTCTCACAATCATCACTATATCTGAGCCCACTGTTGCAATCAGTGTGTCAATCATCTCATTGAGGGTCTTCCACTTTTTCTCTCACCCTCTGCTTTACAATGCATGATGTCCTTCTCCAGGGACTGGTTCCTCCTGATTGTTGTTGTTGTTGTTGTTATGTGCCGTGGAGTCGGCCCCGACTCATAGCGACCCCTCCTTGGGTTTCCGAGGCAGTATCACTACGGAAGTAGGATTGCCCAACCTTCCTTCCGAGGAGTGGCTGGTGGGTTTGAACCACCAGCCGTCTGGTTAGCAGGCAAGTGTCTTAGGCACTATGCTACCAGAGCTCCCGTTCCTCCTGATACCACGTCCAAAGTATGTGAGATGAGGTATCATTATCCTCTTTTCTAAAGAACATTCTGGCTGTCTTCCAAGACAAATGTGTTCATTTTTGGTATATATAATAGTATGCCACCAGAGCTCCATATTTAATAGTAGTCCATGATATATTTAATACTCTTCACCAACACCACAATTCAAAGGCATCAATTCTTCTTCGGTCTTCCTTATTCGTTATCCCCTTTCATACACGTATGAATCAATTGAAAATACCATGCCTTGGGCCAGGTGCACCTTAGTCCTCAAAGTGATATCTTTGCTTTTTAAATACTAGCAACTATTATAAAGTTAATAAAATTCAGGATTAGGAGAAGCAAGACTTACTGGATGCCTTTCTAGACTTACCTCTTATTATATCACCTAGTGCTTTCGGCTCAACCACACAAGTTTAGTCTATCATTGTTCAGATTCTCTCCACATTATCATATCCCCATGCCATTTCTCCCACTGTTTCTTCTGCCTAGGTACCTTCCCCTCCTATGAATGTCCCTGCAAGTTCAGGGGCCCTCAAGACCACCCTCAGGCTGTTCTGGTTACCTAGTACCACTCTCACAAGAATATACCACAAATAGGTTGGCTTAAACAAACAGGAGTTTATTCTTACAATTTGGAGGCTTTAAGTCCAAGTTCAAAGTGCCAGGCTCTAAGGGCTGGGTGAAAGCCCCTCAACCTTGGGGTCCAGCTCTGCCTCCTGCTCCCAGCCCACTGGAGCTAGAGGCATTTCTTCACTCAGACAGCTAGCTGCAGGCTGCTGAGGCTGAGAAGCCCCAAGGCGACAAGTAAGAAGGCACAGTCCTGATGTTATCAAACCACAAGGCAGGCCATTAACGTAAGTCCATTGTATGTCCCAAGGTCTACAGAGCATGGCAGGCTGCTGAGCAATGACACAGCTACATGCAGGGTCCAAACGTGCCATAGGCTAGAGACCATTGTCAAAGCTTCTCCTTATATACAGGAAGCAGACCACATCCCCAAGGCAGCTACTCAGCTGCTTGTGGTAGATCCCACATGGAGCTGCTTGCCAGTCTCATCACAGGAAATAATTACCACCAGCTTCCCAGCCACTCAACCAGGCCCAGCCAAGTTGACACACAAACATAACTACCACACAGGCTTAATAATTTGCTAGTAGTACAGAACTCACTGAATGCTATTATAGTTATGGTTATAGTTTATTACAGCAAAAGGATACAGATTAAATTCTTATGTGTGTAGATGCAGACGAGTTCCACTCACAGAACTTACAGTTGTTCTTTCCCAGTGGAGTCACAGATAACACTAAATTCTCCCAACAACATTGTATGACGATATGAATGGACTGTTGCCAACCAGGGAAGCTCTCCTAAGATGTGGTGTCCAGAATTTTTATAAGGGCTCATCATGTTGACATGGTTGACCCCGTTTGCTCAAGCTGACCCAAAGCTTCCACCATAAATCAGTACTATTAGTATTAGGTGTGGCTCAAATCCTCTAGGTAAACAAAAACACTATTATCAGTCAGGACATTCCAAGCACTTAGAGATTAGGTCCCAACACTCAAGGATAAAGATCAGACCTCCTTTGGGGTAAGGTTAATTCTTTACCACACAGTGCCTTCTATGGATTCTTCTCCTCTTCCAAACCACGTCAATGAAGGACAACTATTACCCTGATTGGAAAGTCAGAGGACACAGCTCTGCCTCAGCAACCGCTACTTACTTCTGAGTGACCCCAGGAAGTTATTCAAACTCACTCAGCCTCTGTGATCCCTTATGCAAAATGAGTGACCAGAGTGGAAGAGCCCAAATTCCTTTCAACTCCAAGTCTATAACCAGTGCTTTTATGGACAAAATCCTATTCTAGAGCTTCAGAACTTACTTCCCTACATACAAGTCCAAGAAAAGTTTTCAAACTAGCAAGCCAAAGTTGTGCTTGGGTGGTTGTTGTTGTTGTTGTTATGTGCCATCGAGTCGGCCCCGACTCATAGCGACCCCTCCTTGGGTTTCCGAGGCAGTATCACTACGGAGGGAGCTCTGGGTCGACTCGACGGCACTGGGTTTCCAAGGCAGTATCACTACGGAAGTAGGATTGCCCAACCTTCCTTCCGAGGAGTGGCTGGTGGGTTTGAACCGCCAACCTTCTGGTTAGCAGTCAAGTGCTTTTAGCCACTATGCTACCAGAGCTCCTTGTGCTGGGGTAGGTAGACAGATTTGCATACCCCAAAGGGAGATTCTGCCTGCCCAAGGTCACTGCTATGCAAAGACCACTGGAGTGAAGCCACTGCCACTATGTCTGACCAGAAGCCAAAACATTTAACTGAGGACTTACTTGGAAGATAAAGAAGGAGAATACATCAAACTCAAAGTCATTGGACAGGATAGCAGTGAGATTCACTCTGAGGTGAAAATGACAACACATCTCAAGAAACTCAAAGAATCATATTGTCAAAGACAGGATGTTCTAATGAATTCACTTAGATTTGTCTTTGAAGGTCAGAGATTTGCTGATAATCATACTCCAAAAGAACTGGGAATGGAGGAAGAAGATGTGATTGAAGTTTATCAGGAACAAACAGGGGGTCACTCAACAATTTAAATATTCTTTTAATTTTTTCTTTTCCCTTAATCCTTTTTTATTTTAAAAAACAGTTCTTTTGTAATGTAATGTTCAAAACGAAATTGAAAACTGGCAGCTCTCCTGAAAACATCTGGTATTTTTTATTCTAGTGCTCATTATTCATTATCATTTGTTTTCATTGTGCTGTTTTTGGTGGTCAAGCCTCAGCTTCCTTCACATTTCCCTCTTCTTCTAAAAATAAATTACATGTGTGCACAGAATGGTAATCTTTTCCAGGATGTGCATTTTCAGGCAGGTGGAATAAATAAGATCGACCAATGCAAGTGTTCCTGATGGCTTTCCAATTGGCCCTGAAGTCCTAGCACGTGATTGCTTCACTCCTGGACTATGACTTTCAGTGGGAGATGGAAGTTTTTCAGAGAACTGACCTATGGAAAAATGACCTTTCCTTAACTTGAAGCTACTTTTAAAATCTAAGGGTGTGGACCAAAAGAAGAGAAATATCAGGTTGGAGTCATGATGTCATATGATGAGAGTAATGTCTAACTGCAAAGATGGCTTCACTCCCCACCTGTAGTTTCCAGTCAAACAAAAGACAGGCATATGAGTTGATCATTTACCTCAAGTAGATACACTCCTTGAAGAGAACAATCATGGGCAAAAGAAGGGCTGCTTATGCACAGGGAGACAGCTCAGGGGGCAGGAGTGCATGGAGGGATGGACACAGGGAAGAGGTAACTATGTGGAGGAAGTGGGAGGGGAGCTGCTGCATTGTGGTAAACTGTGGTCAATATCATGAAACAAAGTATATGTGAATAGCTGTATGGAAAGTAAATTTGCTCTGTAAACCTTCACCCAAATCACAATAAAAAAAAGAAAAATGGCTTCATTGAAGAGACAAAGCATTTTAAGATTAAACTAAAATTCTTACCAGAAGATCACAGAAAAGTTCTAAATTTCATTAGCAGTTAATAAAGTTATTCTTGCAGAAATACATACAACAAAACACTGCTCTTTTTTATTTTATTTGTACTTTTTGGCCTGGGATATGTGTTTTAAATGGACATTGTATTAGCTTCATTAAAATAAACAAAATATTTGTAAAAACTGTAAAAAAAAAAATAGCAAATTTACATGATCTTTATAATCTGATAGAAAAAAAAAATCTCCCTAAAAAAATTTCATACTTTTGACCCAGTAATTGAATGTCTAGGAATCCAAAATAGAGATAGTCTTTATATGCAATAATATAGAGTACATTTAGGCTTATTTGAAGGGGACACCGATACCTAGTACTCTTACAATTTTCAGCTTTTCTCTCACTTTATATTTTTCCTTTCCTGAGACCTTAATAAACTCTTATTCTTAATAATGTAGAAGTAGTCCAGTACTCCCCCATGCATTGCATGTCAGAGGTTTGCCATCATGGAGAGCGTCATTCATTCTCAAACATGAATACTCCTCTTAGCATTTACAGTTTTCTCTATAAATTCACTAATTGATTTTATAGCATGTTGGATTTTAAGTTAAAGATGCCAGTGAAACACCCATAGGTAATGTGATGAACTGACAGGAGCTGACATCTTTTTAGTGGCCAAATTAATCTGGAATATTATGGAAATTTCAAATTTACATTTAAGAGATCAATCTTTCCTGAATTTTGCGTTTAAAGAGAGAACTTCAGCTCTTTATACCTGGTCACTAAAGGCAACCTTGGTGGAAGCAGCCAATTCACTGCAAATCAATTCACCAAAGGCCAAACCCAATCTTCAAATGACCAAATTCCTGAATTGCTGAAGATTGATTTTATTGTGTTAGTTGCTAGGCTTTGCTAGTCTCAGTTGGAAGAACATCCTTGCCAAGTTGGTTTCACATTTCAGATGCTAAACAATACTTAAATCCTTCATTTTCACATGTGAATGACTGCCATTTTGTTATATGCAGTTAATTTTGTCCTACCCACGCCTTTGATGCTGTCCCCATGACTCTGCCCAGACTAATAACTTCAAGGGTCTGTGTGTGCACGTTTGGGAATTTTTCCTTAGACAAATTCCTAAAAATGTCAAGGAATATGTATATTCCTAGGACTTTTGATGCAAAATATCAAATTACAAAACAACTTGCAATTACGTCTATTTATAATTATGCAAATTGCATGTAGACATTGGTTGATGATCTTGATTTGAATCCTATGCTGAGCAGCAGTGATTGAGGCTGCCTATTTCCCCACACCTGGCCACCAAGGAGTGTCATCATTTCTTTTTTTTTTCTTTGCCTCCATGAAAGATTAAAATGATATTGTATTGCTTTTTCAATGTACATATCTTAAATTACTAATGAAATTAGATATTTTTTTCTAGCTTATTGATCATTTTAACTCCTTCTCCTCTAAAATCTCTATTCATGTCCCTTACCCATTTTTTAATAATTTATTTGTTGTTGTGAAAAATATGCATAGTAGATCATACATCAATTCAACAATTTTTACATGTACAATTCCATGACATACATCCTTTGTGCTGTGCAACTATGCTCCCTCTTCTTTTCTGAATTGTTCCTCTTTTTGATATAAACTCACTGCCCCCTAAGTCTTCTAATCTTTCAAGTTGCTTTTGTCAATTTGATGCCATATGGATAGTTCTTAAAGAGCACACTGCTCAAGGCAGACATTCTGTATTAGTTAAGCTAAATTATTGCTTGGTTTTAAGAAGACTTCAGAGGATATTTTTGGTTTAAAGATTTATCTTTAGAAAGGTTTAAAGATTATCTCAGGGCAATAGTTTTGGGGTTCATCCAACCTCCACAGCTCCATCAAATCTGGATTCCATGGCTTTACTTACTTTTTAATGTAGTGTTGGATTCTATATGCATAAGAATATTGATCCTACATCATATTTTCCCCTAGTTTGTCCTTTACCTGTTTTACTTTATTTATCATGACTTTTGAAAATCAGTTTTCTTCTTTGATCAATTTTTTTCCCTTCCTTCCTTTGGTTTTCACCTAAGAAAGGCCTTCCTCATCCTAAGATCTGAAGAGTATTTATTTACATATTTCTAGTTTATTTCATTAATTTAAAATTTTAAAATCCATTTGGAATTTATATTGCTATATGATATTCTCTACTTGAAAAATGAAATTTGGGCAGTATGAGTTGACTTTAACCAGGAAAACTTTTGGTATAAAGAACATCTGATAACATTGATTATATGGATACTATCTTGAGGCCCTTGAATGCAAAGTATCATGAGGTTTATTTCATTCGTCTCTTTTAGACCCTGGACAGAGTTTAGCTGTTAGTAGTGATTTGGGTCATATATTGTCAACTTTCTCAAGCCACGTTATATTGATCTACTTTAATATCAGGAAAAAAAAGTTTAGATTAAGGCATTCTCTGAAATGAGCAAGAGAATTTACAAGCTCTAAAACCTTCTTAGAACCTTCTTCCCCAACTTCCACATACACCTGGATTTTTAAAAGTTATTAACTAAATTCTAAAAAAATTCAACCATACTTACCATCCAGAAAAACAGTGCCAAAGAAGGCAGAGGAAGAATTTAGTTCTTCCTGTGACTCCTTTTTCTCCCCATCCTGCTGCTGTCACGCCTTTCTCCATCCTCTAGCAATATAACAAGATAGGGAAGACTGGTTTCCTTTCACAAAAACAGAATTACATGATTACCCCATAATTTCACTTTTTCAGTAATAGCTATCCCTTAGGTGAATAAATATAGATCTCATGCATTCTTTTTAATAAATAGCTGCATAACACTTCTCCACACACACATATATACAAATGCAAATCCTAGAACTAAGTATTGATTAATTTTGTTGAGAAATTGAGCCACAATTGTTAATGGAAGATAACAATGTGTAATAATTACAACTGTTGCTAGAGTTTAAAATAGTTTCTTAATACAGAAAAAAAAAAAAAATAGAAGCAAACTAGACAACTCAAATGAGATTCCTAATCATGTTATTTATTCCATATGATTTCTACCATGATACTAAATCAATGTTTCTCTGAAAATTTGGCAGGACATGACATGTTTAAAGAAAAGGTTTATTAAGGTTTTCTTCCTACTTCTCTTAGATTCCATTGCAACTTGAGTCCTTGATTTACTAGTGAATTTTGCAGCTGTTGAACAATAAAATGCTGAAAAAAATTAAAATTATGGCCTGTTTTTCTTTTCTTCTTTTGAATATTATCACATTTAGGAAATGAAATGGAAGCCAACAACAGCCAAATAGTTTATACATATATAAAAACAGAACAAAAGAAAAAAAAAAAAAAGTCACTGCCCTCGCGTGGGGTCTGACTCATAGGGACCCCTCCTTGGGTTTCCGAAGCAGTGTAACTACAGAAGTAGATTGCCCGATCTTCTTTCCGAGAAGTGCCATCAGCCTTCTGGTTAGCAATCAAGTGCCTTAGTCACTAGGCTACCAGAGCTCTGTTGTCAAACATTTATACTTTTCTCATGTAACTTTCATGTGGTCAGTGTATAATCAAAACTTCAAGATTTCCCCTGAATAATCCTTAGAGTAAAAACATAATATTTATGATACAAATACTTATTAAGCACCCACTTTATGCTAATTAATGTTCCAGGTGGTAGCTGGAAAGAAATTTTCTATTGTGTTCATAGCCAGGGAAACCACATGTTCCAAGGAAAGTAATGAAGAATTAACCAAGAGCTGTGCAACCAAGGACGTTGGAGTGAGTAGTAATGAGACTATTTATTCCCTGAAAATCTATAATCATTTGTCTAAGTACGTCATGAATAACTGTTTTCTCTTTTGGCTTCCGTTTTCATGGATAGAAAACTCTAGAATGTAATGCTGAAGTTCATGTGGTACCTTGGGAGAAAAAAATCTATCCTACTGTCAACTGCCGATCTATAGTAACGGTATGACTTTATTTTATTTTTTTCATTTCTTTCTTTCTTTCTTTTATTGTGCTATGGGTACAAATTTACAAAAGAAACTTGTTTTACTTTCAACAGTTCATGCACATCTGACTTCACAGCCTGGATTACCGTCCCCAATCAAAAAAAAAAAAACAAACACAAAACTCCACCCCTCTCCTCCCGGTGACCAGCCCCTCCCTGTGCCCTTCTTATCTATGCATTCCTATCTGCCCAGCTTTCCCTCTATGTGAGTGCTACCCCTCTGGTGTCTCATGGCTAATTGATCCAAAGGGTGCATCTCCCTAGAGTAGGTGGGTGCATCACGCTGAGCTAGGTGTTCTGCATGTAGGTCTTTCTACTGTTGGGCAGAGAGCCAATCCATGTGAGTGTAAGGGTATGATTTTAATTACTGTCTGCTCGGAATTGATTTTGTTCATTCTGAAAAGCTGTATTTGAGGGTTGAAAATGAACCTGTGTGAAAAGAATTTGGGCAACTATCATTTAGAAATGGGAAGAAATCTCTTATTTCTGTGCTGAGTTCTCTTTCATATGGCTAAAAGAGAACAACAGTCCTATTAAAGCCTTTTCACACAATGCCATGTCCCATCAAGGCTTCTGTAGGTTCTCAATACTGTGACACACAGCCAGTGCTGTAGGGCTCTCACCTATAAGGCACTGCATTCTGCTCACATCCCAGGAGCTTGTGAAAAGGGTGGAATCTCAGACCTCACACCACGCTGACCAGTTGCAGAAAGTAGATTCTAACTTACTGTGTAGGTAAGAGTAGAATTATGCTCCATGGGTTTTTCAATGGCTGACATCTCAGAAGTAGATCACCAGGCCTTTCTTCCAAGGTGCCTCTGGGTAGATTTGAACCTCCAATCTTTTGGTTAGCAGAAGAATGTGTTAAAAGTTTACACCATCCCAGGATTCCAATACCATACCTACTGAATCAGAATCTGCAGTTTAACAAGCTCCCCAGGGGATTTGTATACACTTGAACATTTGAGAAGCATTAGTTTACATGATATATATATATATATATATATATATATATATATATATATATTTAATTCTTAAAAGAACTCTGGAAGGTAGGTAACCCTTTCTCCTTTATGAAGGGTGAGAACACTTAAGAAGCTAAAAATTAGAAAGACTCTGATATTCCGCAATGAGTAATAATACTATCAAGTCCTTCCTCTGTGCCAACCACTATACTAAGGGCTGCACACACATTTTTCCATTAGTTGTCAATACAACCTGTTGAGATGGATGCTGTTATTACTTCTATTTTACACATGACAAGAGTGGTCAGGGTCACACAGCCAGTATAAGTAATGGTGCTCTATTCAAATCTAGATCAAATCAGAGCCCATCCTTTTTACCATGATACTGATAACTAGTAGAGTCTAGCTTGTTCGACTCCAAAGCCGATACTTTTTCCACCACTGAACACTGCTCCAAGCATCACGTTCTGTCAAGTAGTAAAAATATAGATACAATAACCCACAATTCTACATTCTTTAATGTGAGTACCTCTTCTTCCTTTTTTCTCATTTAGGTTTTTGCCATGTGTAGATAGGTATATAATCTAACATGAACATTGTACAAAGGCTTCATTTCAAGCTTATGAACGAACATGTTCTAACGTGTTTAAGCCCAACCAAGTAATTGTGGATATAGACTCCCTGTACATTCAGTTTGTAAAAGTTTCTTAGAGCCTTTTAGGATAAAAGTAGTAGTTCTGTTAATAGAAATAATGTCAATTAATAAGGGTGTACACTAGACTTACAAAATCACAGGCTATTAAAACTTAGATGGTACCCTAGAGATTTTGTAGTTCAACCACCTATTTATTCCAGATGAAGAAAGAAACTGTCCAGGTTATTTTAGTGTATTATTAAAATCAATCATCAGTGTGTGCAAATTAAAAAATTAATCAAAAGAGAAAAGAATATAATTCATTTTCATCTTTTCTGGAATATTAATATAATATTAAAACGTGACAAAGACCTGCCCCATTGCAAAACAAAATAGCATTGCCAGGTCTCAGATCCTTCACTCTTCATTGATACTGTGGTTTTTAGTGTAATGCATTCGTCTTAATATTTCCTGTTAGGAATCATTGAGGAAAAGGCCTCCAGGTTTTTCACCTTTCCGATCAGTACCATGGAAACAGGAGGAAACAGAAGTAACAACTGTAAGTCCACCCCACACTTCCATGGCACCTGTACAAGATGAAGAGCGGGATCCAGGAAAAGAACAAGGACCCACTCATGGGCATGGCTGGGGCCATGAAAAGCAAATAAAACATGACATTGTCCATGGCCATAAACATAAACATGACCAAGGCCATGTCCCCCTTGGTGGTCAAGATCATACTGGCCATGGACATCAAAGGGGACATGGCCTAGCCCATGGACATAAGCATAAGCATGGCCATGGCCATGGAAAACATAGAAATAAAGGCAAAAACCATGGAAAGCACAATGGTTGGAGAACAGAGCATTTGGCAAGCTCTTCTGAAGATAGTACTACATCTTCTGCACAGACACAAGAGAAGACAGAAGGGCCAACACCCCCCCCTTCCCTAACCCAGCCAGGTGTAACAGTTACCTTTTCGGACTTTCAGGATTCAGATCTCATTGCAACTGTGATGCCTAATATACCACCACTTCCCACAGAGAATGATGAGGACTGGATCCCTGACGTCCAGATAGAACCAAATAGCTTTTCATTTGACCTGATATCTGATTTTCCAGAAACAACCTCCCCCAACTGTCCCGGACGCCCCTGGAAGCCAGTTAATGGGATAAATCCAACTGTGGAAGTGAAAGAATTTCCTGATTTTGATCTCTCTGATGCGCTTTCATAATTTATGCAGCCATGAGTATTTCCTTAGCCCTTTATCATCCCTTCTCCCCATTGTCCAAAGACAAATATCCTGTTATAATGCACCAAAACCCATGAAACATCTTAACAGCCCAGAGAGAAGTGGTGAGACTCCCAGTTGGGAAGCTATTGATCTAATGGACTACATAAAACTGCAAAATTCTAAATCCATTCTGAGTCTTCCTCACAATTTTCTAAGCTAGCACAGAAAATGAATAAACTAATTTGCCTCACAACTTACTGCTATGTGCTTTTCTGATAACAAATGTATACCTTAAAACCTACATCATCAATTTTCATAAAAAGATTCTTGGCATTCTGAATAAACTGTGGCACCTGGTCTCACTCCCACCTGGAAGTCAAGAGCCAGAATGCTGAGTTTCTTAAAAGGGGGAAAATAATAAAAACAAGAAAGAGAGGCAGAGGAGGGAAGAAGGCGGAAGTAAGTTAATTAACTTTCTGTTTCCAAAATGGGCTAGTGATATAAAATAGTTACTCCCATTTGACAAAGCTATTCTGATATTTCCTTTTCTGGGTGTTTCTCATAGGTCAACAAGTTCTGTTTACTCATTAACTATTCTTTGCAACAGGGGTTTCAGATTTCCTATTTGTTTATTTGTTGCCAAGGCCAGATTGAGTAATCTTTAGATTTAGTGATAGGGAGGGAAAACAGAGGAAGTAACATAGAGGCATGTTGCTAAGAAACTTTTTTCATAATTGACAAGACAATATGGGGTGGGACCCTTGTTCAGAAATACTGTAAGAAAATTCCTCTCTAGCCTCATCTTACAATTCAGCCATCTTTTTGTTATCCCAATGAAGACCATTTACTTTTGCAAAAGAGAATAATGTCATTGTTTCTCATTGTGTTACGGTGCAAGGGAGGCATACATTTGATAACTCTTGCTGTACTTGCTTCAGCTGGAGAAACAAGATGTGGAATTAAACACCTTTCGATATATATGTTACTGCTACTTCAATTTATTTGGTGCATTAAAGGCTCCACGTTTTTATTTCATTTCAAGTATTATCTGTACTTTAAATAAAGAACCAGTGATGGCAGGAAAAATCTCGCCTCGTCAACTGGTTGCTTCACTGTCTTTATTGAACAACAATATCAGATTAATGGAGTTTTACTGTACTTACAGAGGCAACTAAGGGCCTGCGAGTATAAGGGCCATCCCCTGGAGGCAGGGGCAAAGCCAACATCTGAGAGTGAGGTCTCTTGACCAGTGGGCAGAAGCTTCAAGCCTGGAACCACAGCCCCAACAGCCTCTGTCAACAGCCCTGAGTGGAAGGACAAGAAGATGGGATAGAATTTAAATAGAGAAGAATGACTTCTTATCACTCTGTTCCTGGGTGAAATAAAGTTCAGTTTTTATGTTCTCACCTCTGGTTAATTTACAGTGTTCTGCTTTCAGCCATGTCCATCCTGCAGCAAATTCAAGCTGCCAAGAGAGCCAGTACCTCAGCTCTGCCACTGAGCTCATAACCCAAGTCTGGGGCCCTCTCCAAGCAAGGCAGGCATCCCTTACAGGGGGCTTCCCCACGACCAAGACCTCATCACAGGTGCTAATTCAAGGGTTGGTTGCCTGTTGCCATTGGGTCATATTTTGACTCATGTCAACCCCACGTGTTGCAGAGTAGAATTGCTCCATAGTTTTCTTGGCTATCACTTTTACAGAAGCAGAGTGCCAGTGTTATCAAACCAAATGCCAGGTCCCTGCCTGGTGTGCAGTCAGGCCAAAACAGTTTACACACCGAGACTGAGAGGAGATAAAATTATTTATTGCAAAGTAGCAGTGCAAGGAGTTAGGGGTAGTTAGTACCCAGATCTTAACTCCCCAAGATGCCATCGAAACGCAGTTTTTGTAGGTGGGTGACCGATGAGTGACTAGCTTCTTGTTATCAGCTGATAGGGGTTTGGGCAGAAGGGAGAGGGTCAGCAATTTAAACCCTTCTAAATCAAGGGTTTAAAAAAATAATAATAAAAAAAGACCTGCTGTATTGATTCAATTCCAACTCATAACTACTTTGTAGGACAGAGTAGAACTATCCCACTATCCCTTAGAGAAGCAGACTGCCCCATCTTTCTCCTGTGGATGTGTTCGAACAGCAACCTTTTGGTTAACAGCTAAGCGCTTAGCTACTGTACCACTGAGCCTCTTTTAAATCAAAGAATAGTGAACAATAGTTTTACCAGCACTGTCTCTGGCCTTCCCTCCTTTCCTTTTTGTTGTCATTCTCAGTCCAAAGTGATGAGTAATATGGCATATGTAGATTACAAAAACAGAAAAAAAAAAAATGCTTCTTTGTTCATATTGTTGTGCCCAGGTTATGAAGGAGATGCTCGGAGAGGAATATGCCAACACATGACAATGCAAATGCAATAGGAAAGTTTATTAGCTAACTTAAGTTAGGGTCTTTGCTCTTACCAGGTCAGTGGCTTAAGCAAAAGACCCTGTGCCCCGGTATTCTCACAATTTTATGGAACAATATGGGGAGGGGCA